GGGGGGGGGTTAGGGTGTTATGTGAGGAGCATTACAGTGTAAAGTCATTACTGCAGCTTACTGGTCAGCACTGTTGGGGGAGAGGGTGCAATTTGAATCACCTATTTCCTGGGGGATGGTAAGGAGTAAAAAAAAAAATATGCTATCACAATTGCATTTTGTATTGTGTTGTTATACTGTATGTGCTTTTGTACAATTGGAGGGGAGAGAAAGAAGTTGTGTACAAATGAAAAGAAATTAAAAACTCAGTTTTAGTGGCTGTGAAATCTCTAAACCTAAATTGTCAGTGCAATTAAAAAAGTGGAACAATTATACAACTGTGCCTAACATGCCACCCCACTATCTTAAATAACAAAAGGTAACCCTAGTCCAGAAATACCACCCTCCCCTGTGAAGGATACCACTGTGTCACTTCATGTGTTCTAATACTCTGCTAAAATGAAGGCGCATCTCATCTGGACTGTGATCTTCCTGTTCAGCAGTCGGGGGACTAGGTCTTCAATTGTCTGGCTATGGGTCCGGCCACCATGACTTTCTGGAGTAGCCATCTTCTGCAGTAAAGGGTTTGTTTTTTTACCACTTTGAGAGCTTGTTTAAGAGCAATATTTTACAATGAATGTGCAGACCTTTGTACAAGCCTTATTGGAGCTTATAAAGCTGGTGAATGATCAAGGGACACTAAACCCAGGAGTTAAACCTTAAAAATACGTACAAGTTTCTTAACTATTAACAATACTGCACCTTGTGTATCACTCAGCTGTAGATCCTCCAATCATCTCTGAATTCATGCTGACACTGTCCTTCCTTCTGGAGGGGGGCTACTTTTGTTGTCCATGGTCCCTGGTTGTGTTGTAAAGTAGTCACCACTCCAGGCCCGCTCTCATGATGAACTACAATCTCACTACAAATTAGTAAACTAAACATGAGATTGTAGTCCATCACTGGAGTGAGCTTGGAGTGGTGGCTACTTTACAACATACAGAGGGAGCATGGGGAACGAAAGTAGCCACCCTCCAGAAGGAAGGACAGTGTCAGCACCAAGTCAGAGATGGTTTGAGGATCTACAACCGAGTGATACACAAAAAAACATTTTTGTAAACGGTATTTTAATTTATTGTTAAAATTTTTACTCCTGAGTTTAGTGTCACTTTAAATAAAGACTGGAAGTGCTGACTGTTTAGAGCTGAAATGTTGTGTACACATGTAATATCTTCCCTAGTCCCCCCTAATCAACATGCAGTTAAAATGTTTCTATCAAATAAATTTGCTTGTTATGAAATAACTGTTTCAAGACTCAGAGACATCATTACTGGGTCTGGCTGCTACTCTTTGTTCTGTATTTAGTCTGAGGGGCAGACAGGCTCTGACTGTCACAGCATTCTGCTTCAGTTCTTTTCCAAAAGTATTATATAAAAACACATGACTAGGATCCCTTTAGATGTGTATCCCTGCTGGCCACTGGGTGCCAGACTTTAGCTGTGAAATCTGCTGACTGGTTGCAGGCACAGCTAACGGGAGCTGAGGATGTGTTCTTTCACATAAAGCTCCAGGACATCATGATGGCAGAGAAAGAATAGCTGTGGGGGGCAGTGGATGATTAATGATGGCGGTTTTTCAAAAAGAAAATGCAGGTGGGCTCAAGAAAGCTTCAGTGGCTACAGTAGATAGTCTACACACCCCTGTAACAATGGCAGGTTTTTGAAATGTAAAAAAAAAAAAAATCAGACCAAGATTTAATCAGATCTAAATTTTTTCCACCTTTAATGTGACCTATAATCTGTATAATTCAATTAAAAAAGCAACTGAAATTGTTTAGTGAGGAAAAGTGTACACACCCTCTTAAGCTGCCCACACGCCTTACAATTTATCTGCAGAGTTTCTATGGTCAGATGGAAAAGGTGCAACAGATTCCTCCACCTACACTTAACTGTGTGGATGGAGTGATCTCCACCTGGGCCAATCTGTTGCACTTTTTTCCATCTGACTACAGAAACTCTGCAGATAATTGTAAGGCGTGTGGGCACCTTTAGAATTAGGGCTGTGCCTATGTTCAGAATTAACCAATCACAATCAAACTCATATTGCATAGTAGTCAGTATTCATTCACCTGCCATCAGTTAAAGTGACTCTGATGAAGCCCATATAAAGTTCAGTTGTTCCAGTAGAAGTTTGCTGACATTTACTCCATTGCCTCTTACAGCAATAGCCATGGCCCGCAAAAAGCTTACAAAGCATCCAAGGGATCTCATTGCTGGGAGGTATCAATAGACCATAGAACACAGTAAAGATGATCATCAAGTGGAGAAAATATGGCATAATGGGGACATTACCAAGAAGTGGACATTCATCCAAAATTGATGGAAAAAAGAAAACTGGTTTGGGAGGCCTACAGCAACAATAAGTCTTAGATCGCACCTTTGTGTTCTCTGAACATGCACCACGCATGTACTGATGAGTGTTCATGAATGTGCTTACATGAGCTACTTTCTCGCACGTACGGAAAAAACGTGACACACGTTCATGAAACACGAAGGTGTGATTGGGGGCTAAAAAGGGAGCTGCAGCAATTTCTGGTTATGTACTAAATGTGACATTAATCTCCCGTATTCTTCATCTTTGGGCTGTGGAGTAGGGTGGCAAGACAGAAGCATTTTCTTACTAAGAAAAACATTCAAACCCAGCTGCTAGGGAAGCACAGATACCAGTAGTTTGGTATCAAGTACAGATATTTTTTTTCCTGTACTCGCCAATACCGGAAGTCCCAGTAAGGAATCCGGGTGGTGTGTAATGACTTGCTGCCTGGGAAGCTGACTCCATGCTCCCTAGTCACCAGGTGAGGAGGAAGCATGGAGCCGGCTTTCTGGCCATTCAGGAAGCCAAAAGGGGAGAGGGGGGGTGGGGTCATTACATCTTTTGACTCCATGCTCCCTTGTCACCAGGTGAGGAGGAAGCATGGAGCCGGCTTTTTGGGTCATTACATCTTTTGATTGCTTTAGACTAGATACACAGTGCATCTTGGTAGCATTTGGAACTGTGATCAGAGACCGGATCATAGAGATAAGGTAATCATCCGCCATTAACTAGTATAGGCATGAGGAACTTACCTATGCAATTATACTTTGAAAGATCAAAAGGAGTACGGTCAGTCTTTCAAGCTAACAGGTCCACAACTGTTCAAATAACCTCTTTATATAAATGTGGTGTGTAGAAGACCCCCAAAAAATAGCGCTGGGCATACACTGTTAGAATTTTTACCAATTTACAGGAATCAGCCGAAATAGATCAAGTGGGTGGCCCTGCAAGCTTGACAAAAGTCGATTACTAAATTGAAGGAGACGGGCTGAAATGTTTCAGGCAATCAGCTGCAGTCACAGTTCATGTATTCTGACAGAGGCTGGCGCTTACAACTTTATGGCCAGCTTAAGAGTACAATAATGTCTGCTGCTGTGCCATGCAAATCACAGAATTTGGTGCAGATAACATGAATCTGTTTGGATGAAGTGATGCGACAGATTCACAGTATAAACCTGTAGCTCATCAATCCTCAGAAGAATATGCCTCCCTTCCTGTCCCCGTCTGCCTGATTTCATAAACTCATTGCAGTCTTCCCAAGATGTCATACAATTCTAAACATTAAATAGTTCAGCATTAGTTACAGTTAGGCCAAGCTTGAAACAGGCACACATGATTCCACAGTTTAGATGTAGTGTAGGTGACGGGCTCCCTTCCTATTCATTTCATCTGCTCACAAAGAATCTAAAGTGCATTGGCACCAGGATGATTTCTGCTGCTGGAAGGTAAAAGGCTGAGGTGGGGATACTGGAGGTACATATCGATCGGTGGAGGGATAGGTGGGTTTTTGCCATGGGGTTTAACCTTAATTAAGCAAATATACATTGGAAAAAGCTGTCATTGGAGTACCTGCACCTGTTTCAAGTAGCAGCTTAGCTAAAAGTAGATAAATCATGCATTGTGCTGTAAGAAGGAAACACACAGTACAGTGAAAGGAAGATCTAAAATACAACCAACTACAAACAGCGAGTTACTTTATTATTGCACTGGAATTACATTTGCTCTGTGAATACATTTCCCATTTCTTCTTTAGAAGTCGTATAATCCTTTGTTGTATATATTACTCCGCACTGGCCTCTTGATTTAATAGTTTGGAGAGATTCATTTTTGTTTTCTCCATGGCAATGCTTTTGGCTCTTCTTGATGGCCTCGAACTGACTGTAGATGTCTGCGCCTCTTCCCTGTACAAAAGTCACATTTTCAGTAAACAGACCCCAAAATACAACGAGAAAATGCAATCCCCGTATACATGCCTCCAGCCCAGCTGATTCCACAATATACCCCCCACATGTCACCACTAGGTTAGCAATGGGAAATCCACCCAAAACATTCAATGACATCACCAAAAGCCTGTGCACATGCATGAACGGACACATTTTTATAAGGTTGTCAAACACCTTCTGCAGCCTGATGTGTAGATGTTCTGCATATGTCTGTTACGTGCAAACCATAATGCATGAAAGGGCATCTCAGAGATTACAACCAGACAACCCTGTGCAACAACCACAAAGTATAATTTGCTAGATTTTAAATAGTGTTTCAATTCCTTTGCTAGTCAATTTCAAATCGGATTTCAAGATTTTCTTGGCAACCTGACCAGAGTGACTAAGTTACAAAACATGATAGCCCGCACTTCTATTCCTACCCATCAAGTTTATGATGCATTTCGATTATAGACATACCCTTTAGCTTCTCCCTGATTGGCAGTCCGGCTACTCTTCTTCCTTGTGCTTACCGAAGATGCTTTCTTGCGACCTGCAGAGATGACACATCATGTTATTACTACAGGTACCTACAAAAACCCTGTCAGTGTATAACTGCGGTGTCCCGCGGCTGGGGAGAATGCTGATGGAATTGGTATGGTATCCATTTTCATTAGTGCTTCAGCGGATGGAAAATCCTGAATGTTACAGATGTTTCCAGGAAGGGGATAAAAGGGAGAATGTTCCAGTGGGGACAGCCATTGTGGAGGGTATATTCCCCCAGCATGGAGATATTTCCTTTAAACTTCCTGTTGTGTCTTTGGGGCAAAATAAATTCATGGACACAAATTCAGAGACTGTTGGGATGCGACAGCAGAGATCACCGTCTGATGAACTGGATAGAAAAACAAAGTTCTAGTTGAGGTGCGATGCCGAAACTACCTTAGGAAGTTCTGGACCTCAATGCATTGTCCCTGTAAGGGCCAGGATAAGGCAGTCAGCTCGGACGCTCGCTGCACAGAGGTGATGGCAGCAAGGAATGCAACCATGTGATTGCGTGGAAAAGAGAAAATCCTAGATATGTTCAAAAAGAAGGTTTTTGAAATGCCAAAGGAACCAAATTCAGGTCTTACAGAGTCACTGGGGACAGAGGGAACATCATAAGAGACACTGTACAGAGATCTCAATCAAGAATGGGAAACTAGCAGTCTGAAGATCATACGTTCCAACATCTAACCATTAATAGCATTTAGGGCCAAATGCTGATCCAAGACCAATCAATGAGCATTTCCTAGGGTGAACGTTCCGTTCCTTGCCTTGCACTGAGAGAAAAAGCCTTCCTTCTGCGATAGTAGACTTCCTAGTCTACAGCACCTTGGGAATCACCGATTCAGAGATGCCTTAGTCCCTCAGCCATGCTGTTAAAGCCAGCAAACGTGAAGTGGAATGGTAAACCCGTCCCTGAGACAGAAGGTGCAGAGGATCTCTAAGAGACCACGAGGCATCTGCCAGAAGTCTGATCAGGTTAGTGTACCACATCCACCTGGGCCAATATGGAGCCATGATGCCCTGTAGCTCAATCCTGCAGAACAGACAAGGAAGGGGTTTTAAAGGAGGAAAGGCATAGATCGGTCTGCACTGAACTCACAGAGCCACGACAGCACCCAGTTCTGCCAGAGGATCACTGTAACTGGAAACAAACCTGTCCAGTTTGTTGTTGAGCATACTGTGACCATCACCTGTGGGTCTAGGCACCTCTGGTTGAGGTAGTCGGACTGCAAATTGTCCATGACTGGAATATAAATGGCAAACAAGGCTAAAACATGAAGTTTTGACCAGGATAGGATCCTTTTTAGCTCACTTGTCACAGAAAAAAGAATTCCATCCTCCTGGACACTAGCAAAAAAGTAAGGAATGCTGGGAGTAGGAGGGGGCTATTCTTCCAAACTTCCTTTAGGTAGCAGTATAACCCAATCTATGGATTATGTTCCTCAATGAACGCTAAAAAAATGATTTTCTATATTTTGCACATTTGTCAGCCTGTAATAAAAACAAAAGGGTTTCTTTTCTCTTTTTGAAAAGCTGTACCAAATAAAAACCTTTTATATCATTTAGGTATGCAAGTTAAGTCAGTTAAATTCAATTGTTAGATTTGGGCTTTGTATTCAGGCATCAATGACCTCGGGTTACAAAAAGGCTAGGGACACAATGTTACATTCAGGATATGGTATTGATTGACCTCTATTACCTTTGCTGGATTTCCCTTTTACAGACTTCAGCTTTAAAGAGTCCATATTTTGTTCTTCAAAAACCTCATCATTTTCTTCATTAAGTGTTGCTAGAAACAAAATAAAGACAGCACGAGTCAGCAGCTTTTCTTGTGTTTAAAGTAGTGGAACCATATTGCATCCATGGCAAAACAACATTTAAAAGAGAACTATGGGGTAAATTTTTTTTCCCCGTAGTTCTCTTTAGGGTCGCAGGAGAGCATATACTAAATGTCCTCCTGTGACCCAAAACGCAGTATATAGCGGACTATTGCCTGCTACATGCTGATACGGGACGGGACGGATCCCGAAAATAGTCGAGATACACCCCGCTGGCTGATTGACAGGGGGCTCTGCCCACCCCCTCCCCCGTCAATCCCTCAAGTCAGTGCTGGAGAAATAGAGAGGGGACAGGGATCCCTGTGGGGAGCGGTGACTACAGTCACCGCTCTTTGCAGGGAGCTGAACGGTAAGTGAGCAAGCGACAGTATGTGCTCGCTGACTTCCCGATCAATAGAGCCGACGTGTGACAGCTTCAATGTCACACGTCAGCTCTAACTATGAGGATGAGTGTAATTCAGTCACCTCATAGTTCTCCTTAAATGTCCTGGCCACCTTGCAACCAAAGTCAATATTTGAAATGCATCGCTCTGAGAAGTATGACTGTCATGTGTTAATATGGACAGTATTCAAGCATGTTTCATATATTACAAGGTTAAAGCCAAATACATCAAAATATATGGTCAGCAGAGACCCTGAGGGTTTACCCAGCATAGCAAAAACAAACAAATGTATTGTTACTATAGGCGCCTAGTGTTTCTCAACTTTAATAAAGTATGTGCTCCTCTATAAATCCAATGTTTACCAAGTAACCCATGGTTAAGGTTTTCTTAAAAGGCAAAGTCCACCTTCTGCATTGGGAAAAAACAAACCAAACACAACACATACAACATTAATAAAATAGGATTACTGTAAAATCCTTTTCTCAGAGTCAAGTGAGGGACACAGCTCTGAAGAAGAGACAGGGTTATGCTGCTCCCTCCAGGAGAAATGGACTCTAGTACAAAAAATAAATAAAAGCCTTTGAATCTAAAGACATAGCCCTGCCACCTTACAACCCTGGCCAGTTGCAGCAAGCAGTATGAAAGGAAATGAGGGGAGGGAGCAGAGTCCCTCAATGGACTCCGAGAAAAGATGTTATGGTAAGAACAAAATCCTATTTTTGCAGAGCCAGCTGTCAATTAGCCAGAGGGGTGGATCTCGACTGTATTATCGGGATCCGTTCTGGCTGCGGCACTTTCAGCATATAGTGGGCAATAGCCCGCTATATAAGGAGTTTTGGGTCACGGGAGGACACAGTACATGAAAGTAAATGGAGGCAGCGTAGCACACCCTGCAAGGCCAATCTGAAGCAAGGAGAATGACTGGAATTCATTCGTATTCTATCCTGCAAAGCAGACGAGGCAATTGCATCAGTGTAGGAAAGACATACATTAGAGCAGGGGCGCCCACAATTTTTCATCTGGAGATTTACTTTTCAAATGACGAGCTCAATGAGATCTACCAACGAAAAAACACCTGCATTCAGGGGCGTGCCGGTGCATTGAAGTAAATGGCAGCGCAGGCAGGCCCCTCGCCCACAGTGCGATTGCCTGCACCAGGAACCCAGGCACATTAGTGCCTGTGTTCCAGTCCAATCCGGAAAATGCTGCAAGCACTATTTTGTCAGATCGCACTGGACCGGAATGCAGGCACTAATGTGCCTGCTTTTCCGGGCGACCGCACTGTGGGCGGGGGGCATGGCTGCGGTGCCATTGACTTCAATACAACCCCACACCCCCTCCCGCCCCTGAACGCAGGGAGTCTGTCGGCTTACATTCCAGTGCGTCCTAGAGGCCCCGGCGTCTTATCCTCCCGTGGTGTTAAGTCACCCAGCGCCTGCGTCCAGGACTTATTTTTTTATTTTAATATATTTTTTTTTTTTTTACTGTTGGGGGGCTTCCGGGAAAATATTGGGGGTCTAAACAGCCCCCTGATATTTCTCTTTAAAATAGAAAAAGAAATTGAGGACACAAAGTCCTCAATCTCTTTTTCTGCAGTCTCTATTCTAAATGAATGGAAAGCACAGAGGCTTCCCATTCATTAAGAAAATATTTTACTATCAAGCAGTTTCTGAATAGGTAGGAGCCGCTGTAGTGAGTGCTTCTCCCCATTGAGAAACTCATGAATGAACAGGAAGTGATGTAAAATCACATTCTGTTCATTTATAACTGGGGACACATAGTACCGTGTGTCCCCAGTTATTTACAAACACTGGAGTGATCAGTTGATCGCTCCAGTGTTTGGTCCTATCACTGATATGTACCGATCCTCTGCCGCTCGGACACGCACACGGGGGCTCAGCTTCTCCCATGGATCCCGCCTGCTCTCCAGGGCAGAGGCAGCGGGGGATCCGGCACAAAGCACTTCAGCCGCAAAGGGGGCGGGAGGAGCTGCTGCCACAGAACTATGGCCGAGCGGGGAGAGAGAGGCGCCGGCTGTCAGATCCAGACCGAGCATCTCTCTCCCCTCACCGTTCGGCATTAGTTCTGCGACAGCGGCTCCGTCCTCTCCGCTGCCGGGTCCTTCACTTCTTCTCGGATCCCCGCTGCATACAGATGAGAGTAGCGGGGATCCAGAGAACCCCCACCAGCGGGAGGAGAGGACATCGCGATCACTGGTAGATCACGATCGGCCTTATGGGCCCCCCTGCATTAAAGTGTACTGATCCCACAGAACTATAAAAGGCATCCACTGCCTCACTCTGGGCACAAAACTTTCCATGCTCTTGTGATGAGAAATCAGAAGATCCACATGTGGCATTCCCCAGCGATGACAAAGTTGTTGAAACAGCTCTGGATGGAGAGACTGTTTGGTAGGCTCGATGCTTATTGGCTGGGTATACGTGGTAATCGGCACCAATACTATTATAGACATCGGTGCATCCCTAATTTAATTCAAAATGATTTTATCGAGCTGCAGTCATGTTTTTAGAAAAATAGTTTCTAATTATGTATGCACGCACATGGGGCAGTCATACATGGGTGTGATGTGGCTACTAGGCATTACTAGGCATTTAGTGATAGCCAGGGCTGTAGACAGCCTGGCTGGATTTGTAGTGGCAATTATATGGTTAATCCCAGGTGTCTAACATTGCCTGTACCCCCTGGGCGGAGTGAGACTGTCATATTGTGGGACAGCCAATGGTGGATACTGTAATGTATGTACAGTACAGCAGCCAATCACTGGTCTTCTCTCAGCCAGTGGTGCATGCTGGAATAGACTACATATATTGGTGGGAGCTGCCATGTGCTCTCTCTCTCGCCGGGACCAGCCATGGATTAGGGCTGGGTCCTGTTCAGTCTGCTCCCCAGGCTAGGCCGAGGCCTGGGGTGGGCTGGAGTGAGGGAAAAGGTTTCCCTGAGGCCACCAACATGGAGGAGGCCTGAGAGACTGAAAGAGGAAGAGAACCAGGACCAGTGCAGGCTCTTAACCCCTACCTGGAACTAAGTAGCATGGTCGGTGTCTCTCCTGGATTGAGGATCTGCATCCATCCTGACTATCTGTCACATCAATGGTTATCTGATGGCACCCAGGTGGATCTCCATTGGTACTACTACACGTTCCGGTGAGTCTGGAGCTTCTGATGGTTACCACTGGACACATAGAAACCCTATACACTCTCTCCCAAACTGAATATCCAATAAATCGTTTACTCAGCATCTTACTGCTAGAGTGGACATCAGTTTATGGGCACCAGAAGTGGGCGGTTAGTGATAATGGGTGTGCGGCTGAAGATCATCCCCTAGACCAACTAGAAGTGAACCGGGCATCCAGCGGCTCCTCCGGGAGCTATCGCTACATGTAGTACACCATTTTTTATTTCAACAGCACAAGGGAACGGTTTTCCTACTCACACACACTTCCCAATTGGGAAAAAAACATAGCTCTTCCCAATTGGGAAGAGCTAGTTATCAGTCCACAGGGCAACCCTGCACCCTACATCAGTTGTATGCTCAATTCAGGCTGGGATTGTTAATGGAAACTCTTCCCTGCTAACTGCTGTACAGATCAACTACAAAAAGCCACAGCAAGCAGAGAGGAAGAAGTGCGTAAGAAGCACTGGATACTGCCTGTAGACGATTACATAAAGATAAACTGAATTCCACTTTCTTACTGTAGAACAGGCACAGTGTGCACCATTGCCTCAAACCGATTTTCAAAAGTCATTTTGAGTCAAAACACAGACGGAAATCACAACATACAGGATACCCTGCTTGTAGGATGCCAATGTCCTGGCAGTATCCGGGAGTGCTTACAATGAGTATTTACTCCATAGTTTGTACCGGCAGCACTCAGGATGCATCTAGAAGAGGGCGCAATCTAGAAAGTCCCACTCATATGGGCAGGGTATTCTCCCCTACTGTCTGCTATTGCTATACAATTGTGTGTACTTTTACTGGAACATTTAATGCTCTGTATTCTCTCTACTACCCATCTTTGTGACACCTATTACACTGTGCAGTACCCCAGGAGATGGTGCTGTATAAATCTACAACAGCAGGCTGTCAACACTACAAAGTCCTTCCTGCTTCTGCAACCTGTCAATGTATTAGTCAGCCTGTCATGCGTACATGTCAATGTATAAGTCATACAAGTCAATGTCGGCCGTACCTGTTAAAATCAATGTATAAAGCTAGGCAGAGTAAACAATCAATCTTGTGTGATTTTATAGGTCGGCTCTTAAATACTACAGTGTCTGTCAGAACATGTTGATATCTACAGATTATGCAAACAAATTGAAAAGTGGCTGGGGATCAAAGCTGCTCTGTAGGGGGGAGTGAGGATGTACAGTGTAGCTTTCACTGAGGAATGCATGCAGTTAACTTTTATTGAAAGCTCTAGTCTGACAACACGCATAACGTTCTATACCCAGAGAAAAATACAAAAGAATGTTTCTCCTACAAGCAGTAAGTATGCTAGTCACAGGAGATACTACTTGAAAACAATCTATATTACCTTTCTCGTTTTCTAGCTCGTTAGGTACACTTGTGGCTTCCTGTGTAACAGCACCTTCCTCCTTTGAATTCATGTTGTTCCTTAATTGCATCTTGACCTTTTCTAACGCCCTCTGGCACACTTTATCCTTTATATCCTGCAAAATATAAGAAGAAGGTCATACAGAAGAAAACTGAAAGAGCCAAGATGGCAATATGCAAGAGGGGTGTGAGCTTGAGGAATTTTGCTGGCTACCACTAGCTCTAATTAAACTCTGGTCTAATGGGGAATCAAAATGTTTGAAAGTAAGCCTACCGCAAATCTGGAAGAAAAAAAAAAAAAAAAAAGTATTTAACCACTTGTCGTCCATTGTATATAAACGGACAGATAGCATGTTCTTAAATGCGGGTTGCCGTACATGTACAGCGCTTTCTTTTTTTTCTGCGTGCGCGAGCAGGACAGAGTAAAAATTTGAAACAGCCAGTAAAGGTGCCCATACACTGTACGATTCTCGTACGAGAATTGCGGGAAATCCCGCGATCGTACAGTGTATGGAAGGCGTGCGACCGTTTCTACTGTACGTTCGCACGTCTTTTGTCGAACCAGCATGCTAGAAAACCTGCCGAGAATCGTACGATTGTCGGCGGGTTTCTAGCCTGCTCGTTCGATAGCTGCGGAACGGGCTGGTGTGCGCACGTGCACACTGCCCGTTCTGCATTGCGGTCATCGGAAACGATGATCGCAAGTCCGATCTGCACGTCCAAGGTGGGCAGATCGTACGAGCTTTCAATAAGCATACGACCATCGCAAGACAAAAGTCTTGCGATGGTCGTAAGGTGTATGGGCACCTTTAGGCTGTTACATACAAGTGTTTGGGGCTGTAGAGCCCCTGAACACTTGTATGCTGCCTGGAAGTGTGCGGGCCCAGAACCGACAAGGCAGGTCAGCACACTTCCACCTGCTGACCTCCCCTCCGTTTTCTGAATGCAGAAGTGACATGCATTATATCAGCCTGTCATTTCTCCTGCGGCAGTAGCCAGAGAAGAAGCTAGTGTAGCAGACCTCTGCTTCATCAGCTTCTTTAGGGTCCCTATGTGACAGTAGGCGTCCGATAGACCCCTGATGTCTCCATAACAAGCACCTGTTACTGCATATTTGCGATCACATAGGGGGCTTGTTGCCCCTACGGGCGAAAATGCTAGTTGTGCCGCACCTGTTACATATCACTGCAAACGATGAAGTGCGAGCAACAATTTTAGAGCCATTAAATCGCTGTGAACACTAAACTGATGAGTGGTAAAAGCTTTCATAGCATCACCTATTTTGGGTATGGTAGTTTTTTGTTGCAATTTCACGGGCGCACACAATTTTAAGCCTTGACATGTTTGGTGTCTATTTACCCGATGTGACCCCATCTTTTATATTTTACCAAAACAATGACCTAATAATAAATGTTTCATAACATATCAAAAGGGAAAAGTTGTTTTTTTTATTTTAAAATTTTCAGTACTTTTATTTTTATATAGTAAAAAATGAAAAGAAATAAAACCCCAGTGGTGATTAAATACCACCAAAAGAAAGCTCTGTCAGTCAAAGTACCGCAGCGCTGAACACTGAAAAAGGCCTGGACAGGAAGGGAGTTTAACACCCCGCTCGTCAAGAGGTTAAACTACAACATACCACTTGAAAGCTATATAAAAGGTGAAAAAATAAATATGTTGCCTACAGGTGAAAACCCGCAGACAATGCTCCGCTCCCGTGGGTCCTGGGCAAGAAGTCATCACACCTCATGCAGGTTGGTTAAACAGTTTACTCTTTCCTCCATCACAACTTGCTCTCAACTATTGTAAGGAGACCTCGAACTTTCAGTGGAGTTACTATCGCAAATCAGTCACAAAAAATAAAGTACATATACAAACATTATGCGAGACCAATTCATTCCATGATGCAGTATATATATTTTCGGAACAAAAGGGAACAAAGCACCACCTCCGTGTGTATATTTATTAAAATGAAAACAAGGGATATATGTACTCACAAGCAAACGTTTTCATCATGCTTTAACAAAGAGGCCACACTGTCTATTAACCCAACATGGTATCGCCCCGACTATGTACCACGGCTCTCTCCGGTCACATCACCGTCCACAGTCAGCCAAGATTGACGCGTTTCAGAGACAAGCCCCCTTCATCAGAATCATCTGAAACGTGTCAATCTTGGCTGACTGCGGCTGGTGGACGGTGATGTGACCGTGGTACATAGTCGGGCGATAAAGGGGCACATTAAAAATCTGAAATACTAATAGTTCCTGATAGATTATGGCTTATATTAGGTATGGGCTCGAAAAAAAAAATGATTTCAATGACAACAAAGTGTTCTTGCTTGGTTGTCATCAAGATGTGAAAAAAATGTCAATAGAAACACTAACAAGAAGTTCAGCTTATCCAAGTTAGAAAAAGACAGAAGAAAAAAGTGAATGCTAGTTCCGACAGACAGAAAGGTGTCTGAACACAAAGCGCATCACAGTCTGTTCCATATGGTGTTGCGTGGCCGTAGACCAGGCAGGTCCTATGCCGACGAGAGTCCATCGCCATCAGCATCTACAATGGGTACTGTCCTGAAGCGGTTATACCAAGAACGCGGCTGCTGCAGCCATGTTGGCATCATTTTAAACACCAGGCGATTGCTGTTTAAATATAAGCAATCCGACGGCTGTAAAGATCACTTGTGCGGTGCAGCGCTGTGTGCCCCCCTACGCCGCCAGCTTCCCCTGGCTCCGCTGTCCCCTGTGCGGTCCCAGAACCGGCACGGCGGGTCTCCCCTGACTGAGCGGAGGGAGATTCCAGCCACTGATGTCTCCTCCGATCACTGGACCCAGAAGTGGTGTATTACATCACTTCCAGGGTCACTATTTACAGTCTCTAGCTCGTATAGCTAGGAGAAGAAGCTGGGGAAGCAGATCTGTGCTTCCTCAGCTTCTTTGGGGTCCCTAGGTGACATTAGAGGTCCGATAGTGAGAACAATAATTCTATAGCCATCAATCACTGGTAACACTAAGCTGATGAACAGTAAAAGCTTTTGAAGCGTCACCTATGGTAAATTTGGGGTATTGTAGTTTTTTTGCGGTTTCACCGACGCACACAATTTTAAGGCATGTTTGGTATCCATTTACCCGGCATGATCCCATCTTTTATATTTTACCAAACAATTGGGTATTCTATTCTGTTTCTGTGAACTTTATCCTAAAAATACTGGTTTGATAAACATTTGCGCAAATACAGTGTCAAAAACATCTGCAACTAGCTTTTTTTTATATATTCTACAGGACCTCTGCTTTCAAAAATTATATAAATTGTTTGGGGGTCTGAAGCTGTTTTCTAGTCACAAATTCAGATTTTATTATGTGTGTGCAAATAGAAAAAAAAAATGCTTTGCCAAGCAAGTGGTTAAATAATAGATAGTCTAATAACCGTTACCTGTAGAGCAATGTCCAAAAGTGGCAGCAGGTCTGTTGTAACCTCTTTTGACAGTTCAAGTGAGCACAAAGATTTAGCATATATACGAACATCTGGAGCCGTAGGATCTAGGAGTATCTCGTTGCAGATTTTTATAGCCAGGCTATCATGTACTGTGGAAATCTGAAAGATAACCGGAAATATCACAACACACATTAAAGAGGCTCTTCAGTTCAGTGCAGAAATGGAAGCTTAACCGCCATCTAGGGAGACAACACAACCTCTTGATAATGTAACAGGTGTCCAAGTAACCCATACATCACAAGTGTGGCCTACCATGTGCCATCAGAACTGAGAGTTGTATTATTGAAGGTGAATCAATGAAACAGCTTAACGGGGACATGGTCTTGATTCTTTGCATCATCCAGGGGGTAGGCTGCTTTGCTGACTGTTCATCCTGCATCTTTCAGAACAAGCTCAATGTCAGAAAGTACCATTGAGATGAACACCCATTGTCCATATTGCGCTCTTTAGGTGCAACACTAACATATTCAAGCTTTCCTTGCCTGATGATTTATATTTCTGTGCACAATTGCTCAATACATGCACATCATGTTTCTTCTAGAGTAAAACAGTACAAGTGATGTGCTTTGTACATTTAGTCAATGAGAATTAATTGATATAAATATAGTCATATAGTCAGCTAGGCCTATACGAGTTTTAAAGGGAACTAGGATGAGTCTAGGTCAGATTTAGTTTATTTCTATTAAATATATTCCTATATTATCTTTTATTAGGTTTTGAAACTGATTTAGGTCTCTTATTTATAGAAACATTTTATTATACAAATAATAATTGGATGCACCCATGACAGAGCATTCTGGGTTTTCTCCCAGACTTTCTTGCTAAAAGTCAGTATGGGGGATGTACGAGTCACTGTTTGACTTCTTTTAGCCAAGTTCGTAGATTGAGCTACTGAACTTTGTAAAGAGGACTATTTTCTGTTGTTAAGATTACCATGATAAATGTATTACACACATATACTGTATATTGTTCTGTATGGCTGGGGAGAGATTGCCATGAGTGGGATTCGAGTTTAACTAGTTACCTCGCACTGAGCAGGTCATATGAAAAGATTCCATTGTTAAATTTTTCACATTTATTGCTCATTTCCTTTATTTCCCCACATGTACTTGTTTAATTACACCACCACTTTCTGGAAATATTTTTTAGAGAGCTCCCCAGTAGACTAGAGACATGCATAATGCCCCACACAGGTCAGTCCTCTGCAGCTACCTTTCACATTGGGTCTGATATAGTTGATCAAAAAGGTTTATATACTGCTGGCAGAATTTGTGAGATTGCATTTAATTAAACAGAAGCATACGCATTAAGAAAACAACATGTCTTTAAGTTTTAACCCCTTCGTGACGGGAGACGTACACTGTACGTCCAGCCACAAAGGGACCAAATGACTAGTCACGTACACTGTACGTGACGAGTTATTTGCTGCTTTAGAGGGCTGTTAATCGCTGAGAATCAGCTTTTAACATTCATTAATGGCTGCCCTTACTACAGAGGCATTCATTAATGAAAGGGTTAACCTTTTTCAGACACCCGATACCTTAATATCGGGTGTCTGAGAGTCAAAGCAAAGCGGACACAGATGCCGGCTTTTGCCGGCATTCTGACAGCTCGTATAGATCGAGAGATATCTCTCTCAAGCTATACTGGCTTTTTTTTTTTTTCTTTCATGAATAGATACAAAATGTGTCTATTCCTACAATGTATCTATTCCTGGAAGAAGAATGTTTGTTTGCTGATCGTTGTTGCAACAATCAGAAAACATTTAGTAACAGCTGAATCCTGAACTGCTGCAGGATCAGTGTCACTAACTTATTATCGGCTGTTCTGAAGTTTGAAGCAGCCTGATAATAACCAAAAATTTATTAATTTATCATGCAGTAACAGTGAGATTAATTCACAAAATCTGCTTGATATAATTAAATAAATAAAATAACATTTTTAAGTTAAAAAAAAAAATTGTGAAAAGTGTAAAAAAAATTAAAAAATTTGTAAAAAATAAAATAAAATAAGGGACAAATAAATGAATGTATTTATTGCATTTTTTTAGCTGTGCTGGTTTTGTAAAAAAAATACTACAAATCAAAACTGGGAAAAAAGTGTTTTAAACGGTTTTTTCCTCTTTTTTTATATTTTATTTGTCCTAAGTGAGGCGTTAGACGCACATATGTGATATAAATATGTAGCCCTATCTGTCCTCTAAAAAACAATATATAATATGTGTGGGTGCACTTTGTAAGAAAGTATATTACTGACGTGGAAGAATCACACAGCAAAAATGTCAAAAGTGTGTCAGTCATTTACGAACAGAAACTAAAAACAAGCTCAGTCATGAAGGGGTTAAATTGATTCAAATTACACTAGGTCCTGTCAATCTATTTGTTGTCTAGGATAAACGCCATGTTTGCGATCTTCCCAAAGTGGCTTAATGATGCTGAGGTCAAAAGATTGTAATGGCCACTTCAGAACCTTCACTTATTTCTGCTGTTCCCACTGAAGAGTCGATATACAGTATATGTCTCTTTATGAGCTGCTAGAAAGTTACACCGTTCAAGTCACAATGAGGGGTGGATGACTAGGGGAGAGAAGACCATGGAAATGTTTCTCTCCTACCTTCATCAGACTGATGGTGTCGTTCCCCCAGGATGCTCCTCTGAGATCTTGGCATAGTCAATTGATTCAAACGCAATGATTGCATTTCGATGATAAAAGTAGTTTATTTTTTGTATACTATTGCTCTATATGGTGACATTTTGGGAATTTATTTATGCAGACCAGTAAAAGGTATGAATCGCCAACTTGAAACTAAATGACACCCAAGAGTATAAGAAGCAGACACCTAGAGGTGCTCATATAAACATATTGTACAAGCTTTGATAGCTTCAAGTTCAGCCAAATGTTTTTTTACATTTTTGATAGCGCAAGGCCTCATTCACAGTGAGAGCCGGCCTGTACAGATCCGTGCTGCGTGCACGGCCGTATAGGGCTGCTCCCAAGAAGGACAGGTGCTGCATGTGATTGTACGCAGCAGCCTGTTCTTCTCTATAGGAGTATGCGGCCGTACGCTCACACGAGCTGCACATCCGATGGATCATGTCTGTGTCCAAACACGGACACCCACATGGATGTGCAGTTTGGGTGACCGTACAGGGGTGTCCTCCCATAGAGAAGAACAGGCTGCTGCGTACAATCACACGCTGCACTTGTCCTACTGGAAGCAGCACGATACGTCCGTGCACGCCGCACGGATCTGTACGGGCCGGCTCTCAGTGTGAATGAGGACTAAGGAAGGGTTAGATTCCATGTCATGCTTTTCTGCTATCAGGGGCTATGTTAGAGATATTCCCCTTAACTTATTTTCCAACGACAGCGGTTTTAACATACAGGAAGGAAAAGAGTAAGCGAAAATAAAAAGTCAGTTCTTTACTGCCTTCTGTGGCGGATTTTCACTTCCTGCCTGGTTAAACAGTCACCACCATGACAGTACTAGGGAAATCTCTCTAACAGAGCCCCAGATAGCAGTAAAAACCTAACAGGGGTTCTAATCCTTGCCAACTTTTTTAAAAAACATATTCAGGCTTGATTAAATTGTGCACAAGGTGTACAAGTATCAGTTACAGAATACACTTACTTGATAATCTGGAGAAATATTCTTTTGTGCTTTTAATCCACTTGGCCTTGTCAGATCAACCAGCAGTTCAGCTACATTGGAGACATCAACATCAGCCAGCGGAGAGGAAGCCGGGGCATTGAAGAGGGTCTGAAGTGTAGACACAAAGGCCTCTTCAAAGCACTCCTGATTTGTTCTATGGGAGAAAGAGGTTACATTTATAGTTAGACTTATTTGTGATATTTGATTAGTTTCACTATTCTAACATAAATGCAGTTTACAATTAATGGAAAGAAATCCTAATTATGGAAACCAAAATTTAAAGTGACACTAAACCCAGGAGTTAAATCTTAAAATACATTAAAGTATCTTAAATATTAATAAAGATGTATCTTATTTATGTATCACTCAGCTGTAGACCCTCAAATGGTCCGTGTGTATTGTAAAGTAGCCACCGCTCCAAGCTCATTCCCATAAATGTACTACAATCTCATGTATAGTCTACTAATTTGTATTGAGATTGGATTCCATCACAGGAGTAATCTTGGATTGGTGGCTACTTTACAACACACACACAGGGACCATGGGGAACAAAAGTAGCCACTCTCCAGAAGGAAGGACAGTGTCAGCACCAATTCAGAGATGATTTGAGGATCTACAGCCGAGTGATACACAAATAAGATACATTTTTATGAATAGTTAGGGTACTTGAATGTATTTTTACGGTTTAACGCCTGAGTTTAGTGTCACTTTAATAGAATAATGTCATGCTTTGAAGGAGAACTATGGGGTTAGGGCTTTTCCCCATAGTTCTTCTTAGAACTAGCGTCCTCTCGTCACCCTAAGCTCAGTATACCGCGAACCACAGCTCGCGGTATACTGAGACGCCGCAGCTGAAGCGGATCCTGACAATTATGTCTGGATCCGCCCAGCTGCGTGAGTGACAGCTGGCTCTGCCTATCTAGAGGCAGAGCCAGCTGTACCCGCCCCCTCCCCCATCCGTTACGCCAGTCAGCGGTGGAGGAGGATCGGAGCGGGAGGGGGGAATCCAGCTCCTCCCCTGTCACGGCAGAGAGCCGTGACAGGATCGAGAAGTGAGCGAACGCCGGTATGTGTTCGCTCACCTCCCGATCTACTGAGCCGACCTGTGACAGTCTCATTGTCACAGGTCGGCTAGAACTATGAGGTGAGTGAAAAGCACTCACCTCATAGTTCTCCTTTAAAGTACATCCGTCACAAGAAACATTTTAGAAAATGCTAGTTGCCAGGCCGTATTTTTCATATTTCTGAGTCACTGACCTGGAACAAGCATGCAGCAAATGAAAGTTGAGGGAACCAGAATTCACACATCTTACCGAGAAGAATATGCAAAAATAGGGAAGAAGACACCCAGGCAGTGACGCAGTTTCGTGTCCTCTTCAGTCACTGGATTGTACCACAGAAGTAAGAGACGTGACAGGAGCTTAGCACTTCTCAATCTTCCTGAGAACATCAGTTTGGCTAAACCTTCAGCGGTTTCAGTCCTTATTTCTGGAACCTGAAAATATTAAAGTGAAATCTACTATATTCTATTTTGTTCCTAGGCATCAGCCTATAAAAAGCCTAGACATAATACTTCACCTGAACCATCCAATCATAGTCAGCCCAAGCAAGAATTGTGACTGTGGGACTTGCTTACCTTTACCCCTGGATGACTCTTCTCAGCAGAAGAGCCAAATGCGCAGACAGCGTTATTCCAGCTGATGACTACTGTTCATTTCGGATACACCACCAGAATGTTTAGCAGTGCTCACCCTCCCTCTTCTATAGCTAGATCACTAACATTGAACCAATTCAAACATGCATACATAGGGTAACACCTATTGGTGGTCCGATCAGACCTGCATCGCCAACCATGATTTTCAAGAATCTTTAAAATATGCAAGTCACTGCTATGGACCTACAATATTGATTTATTGCTGGCTTTAAGACAGCATCAAGATCGGGGGGGTTGGTTTAGAAGGCATTTAACAGTGCAGAAGAGAATCTTACCTTCAAAGGGAATAAGCGAACAGGCCTAATTATTTTACCTCACTATCCAGGAAGTCAGAGAACATCTTTAATATGGAATTCAAAGCAGAGGTCTCAGGTGTTACTTCGTCATCCCCAGATTTTTCTGTGGAGTCAGACTGTTCAGTCTCAGTGGTCTCGTCTGTTCCCTCTTCCTGTTTATTTTCCAGGTTATCAACATCATCTTCCTTTGGCTTTAGAATTTCAAGCCCAAAGAGCAGAAGAAGATCGAATACTGCATTCAAGGCACTGGTCCGCACCTTGACCTCATCAAGCTGTGATATCTAAAGTCCAGAAATAAAGAAATAAAACAAGTGTAGATTATTTTATATAGTTTCTGAACTTCAGCAGAGAGATCCATAAGCTGGAAACAAAGTAAATGCCTGCCTTACAACTAGGGATGCTCAGATACCAAGTACTGTACTCGGTACAAGTATATGTACAGATACTTTTCCAGCTCCAAGACTAGACTAGAGAAAAATTCAAAAGTTAGGAATCAGCTGTCATGTTTAAGGAGCACACGGAGCTCCTGTGATTTGTGCATCCCTGTTTTAATGCATGATTTGTTTTATATATAAATGTATCAGGGATGCACCGATACCAGTTTTTCAAGTGCATGTACTGAAACTTGTCCAAGTACTCACAGATACAAATACTGATACATGTTTGTTTATTGTCATGTGACAGTTTTTCTAAAACAATACAGACTAATGATTTCAGGACAGTGGTGGAGTGCCAGGGCCCAGTCGCAGCTGCAACCCTGGTAGTTCTGGACATCCCTACCTCACAACTACTTCATTCTGGTTAAATGTACAATGAAACTGACAAAAGTCTACAGTGTAAATGGTAACAATTCCTGGAAAGCCCCTCTGCTCCTGTTTGCACTGCTAGCCTCAAAAGATCCCTCAAATGAGCCTGTGAAAAAGCAGGCTTATGTGTTCCATGATTCTGGCATGGTCCATTCTCTATGCTCCTTGCCCTCAAAGAGCACAGAATAGAGGTTGCATAATACAGATGCCTTCAGAAAGTGGCTACAACTTATTTCAAAAACAATAAAAAAAAAAAAAAAAAAGAAAAACTTTTTTAAAAAAAAAAAAAAAAAAAAAAAAAAAAAAGGTAGAATTATGTAGGCCTATAGACTTAAAAACAGTTGTAATATCTACTGGATAACATTCGCAGTTTAACAATTGTACTTGGTGCCCCGAGGGCCTCTTTTGAGTTTATTCTGTTTTTACACATGCTGGTCTAGCAGTTTTTTTCCCCCTACAAAACATGCTTGCTCCTGCGCATTTGGAAAAATATTTGAAGTAATGTTACCTTTAAATATTCTAATTCTGGCAGTATTAAGTATAAAACCAAACCAAAAGCCAAATGTGTGTTATGAGAAAAATCTTAATTTCAAGTTTATGAAGACATTTTTCCTACCTGTAGAAGCAGAGTCAAGTGTTGTTTTGCAAAGTCTTTGTTTTGCAGGGCACAGCAGCCAATGCACAAGACTGCAGTGTTCCTTACAGAAGGATGAACATTGGTTATTCCTGGAAGTATCTGCAAGAAGACAGAAAAGGAGTCTTTGGTTACAAGACAAAAAAAAAAACAAAACGAAAACGACCCATTATTTTCCTGCTGAATGCAAAGTTTTCTCCATCACTCTACTGGTATTTTACTATGAAGCGGACACATACAGCCACCAAAGAAAACAGCGCTGAAGATAGAAGTCTGACATTTTTTGCATACATTTCAGGGTCGTGGAATACGTATCGCCCAACGCCCGGGACATGTAGTTCCGGGCACCGGGCAAGCACCGGGCTACGGATAAGTAGCAGGGCTGGCTTTCTTTGAGCGCCAAAAGTGGCGCTACGAGCGGGGGGCGTGGATCGCTGAGAGCGGGGGGCGGGGACGGAGCAGAGGGCATGACGGAGCGAGGGGCGTGATGCCGTGACGGAGCGGGGGCGAAGCGTTGAATGAGATGGGGACGGAGCAGAGGGCGTGACGGAGCAAGGGGCGTGGAGCCGGACGATGGAGCTGTGACAGGCTCTGTCACGTCCCCCAGCCTCTGTCCCCGGCGGCCACTGCTCGTTCCTATGACAGGAGTTCTAGCAACAGTGCTGTGCTAGAACTCCTGTGTTGGAGGTGACAGGGTCAATAAAGAGTACCTGTCACCTCCAAATGCTATCACACAGGGGATTATTATTCCCTGTGTGATAGCAATACAATAAAGTTTTTTTTTTTAAATAGTTAAAAAACGGCCCCCGCTTTAGTCCTTGGACAAGTAGTTTTTTCCAAAATTTACACACCCCTGCATTTCCACAAAACCTAAAAACGTGCTTCTAGTTTTTGGATACCTAGTCTGATGCAGGTCTCCTCTTTACACCCAATTAAATGTACATTGTAAATCATTTAGATCACGGCAATGATAAATTGAAAGCAATGCCCCATCAGGAATACAGAACCAAACACACATGAATCCTTCTGCCTGATTTATCCTATTCCCCAAGAGTCACATTGCCCCTCCTAGGTACTTACCAATGATTGAATTATCTCATTCAACGTTCCTCCAAGTCCTTTAGAAAGCGAAATGTGCTTTAGGAGTTCGTTACACATAATCAAGCACTTGAGAAGTGTTTCAGGGTCATTCTGGAAAGAGAAAACCGTACAAGTGGAAATAGCATGCATATTTATTCAGAGAGAACGAATACAAGATGAATATCCAACAGCAGGCCAAACCTTTTCCACACGGATTTCTTTCAGCTCTGGTTCTTCTGCTTCTCTAATTAGCTCTGCTTTCAGCTTTTCCAGCTCGGACACTTTTTCCTTTAATTCAGAGGCCCTGCCAAATTCTTGGGCACTTATGGAGTCCTCCAAGGCTTGTTTGGCTTCCATAAGTTGCACTTTTATATTAGCAATCTGTAAGAAGATTATTACTTTACAACTCGCTCTAATTATCCTCTACATTACAGCAAAGCAGTGCACATATTTGAGGGTGTGCTTGTGTCACGCACATAACTATGAAAAACAAGCGGACCTAGATTCAAGCAACTTTATGCAGTACCTCAGTGAGATAAGCAAGTTGCAAATATAGCACATACAGTAAGCATTCTGCAGCTGCAGTTTTGGCCAGGACTATTTGTCATCAAAAGGTACAGCGCATCTCTATGGAACAGCTATTCTTCTCCCTAGACTCCACCCCTTTATGACACTATCACTATAATCACTTAATCAGAAGCAGGAGTTGGTGGAGATTACCGATCAAATTGGCTAGGATAACAAAGGGTGTCTAGGTGCACAAGTGTCAAGCCTAAAAACAGAAAGAGCTGTTCTACAGAGACACTGCAACGGATTAAAAATTAGCTGGGGCAGCTGCAGAATGCTTGGAGGCCTTGTATGCATGCATTTTAGCTTGACTACAAGCAGCATTTACAGCACAGCAAGTCTTTAAAGCTTTTGAGCTTTTGCAAAGTTGTTTTCAGCAAACAGCTTTCATGCAGCCTTTAATGCAACTCACTACAATTTAAGGAGGTTAACTACAGAATAAAATAGGAGTGATGACTCTCACCTTAAATAAGCAGTTAGCATGCTTCAGCAAGCATCGCCACTACATGACACTTGTCAAAATCCAAGTGAAGAATATATGGGAGAAGTCATCCTTTAGACAGTATAGAACAGGCTTTATACGGATGAACTTGCACTACATGCTCTTTGCCAGTGTACCTAGGGCATGCATGATGGGAAATCCAGGAGAAAAGATGGGAGGGTGGAGCAAATGACATGATTGAAACCAGAGATTAGCACATATGGCCAGGTGGAGGAGGTTTCAAAAGCTCGAGATTAAAGCACCGATTATGTTGACAGGTTGGCAAAAGGGTTTGGTACGCAAACATTTGCAAGCCTTTGGAAGGATGGCAGGCCTATAAACCATAGCACAAATGGGGAAGCACTGGCCTCATGAAACTCTAAAGACTCATACCTTTACTTGTAGTTTCCTGGACTCTGCAACATCTGGTGGATTATCGACAGTGACAATTGGCTCTCGGAGCTCAGAAATCATTTCCGCTACCTGTTGGAAAAGATTTATTGAAGTTGTGGTGACTTTCAGAAAACAAAGTGCCTACATAACATGTATATGTGATGTGTGTACACACTCATATACAGACACACACAAGCATTTCAAACACGCGCGTAAGGACGTGCACTTGTGTGTGTGTCTATATTTACACAAAAAGGAAAAGCACATTCTGCTACATACAGTTACGATTCTACGGTCGTCATCCTTGATAATGCGGAGCAAGACTTCCACCAGAGGGGATATAAATGATGTTGCAACATTAGGCATAAGTAGTATTTCTTGTAACACAGCTAGAAGACGTTTTCTGGAAAATAAAAACAAACATACCAAATTTCTAGACAAGCCTGATAATAGTAAAACTACTAAAAGAACACTTTCATCTAATTCCTTTGTTATATACGGTCTCTATTGTCCTCTTTGTGGATCTTTGCATTAGTTACACAATAGAACAATGAAGAAATCTGGCCTAATTGAAAAGAAGGATTTTTTTAAAATTCCTTTTCATAGTGAAGAGCTGATGAAATTGATAAATATAACGAACATGTTTACTCCCTTTCCGTATGTGAAAGAAGCTGAAGCCCAACATTTGACACTCCTAAAACTGTCTATATCCCCATTCATTTCATCTGGCCTACTGACAAAAAAAACCGGTGAAACATTGAAATGACCCTACTTGTGGACGATAAAAGGACACAAAGAAAGGTATACATTTCTCCCGTTGTGTGAAGCATAGCCTCTCTCACAGGAATAGCCAGTTTTTACACGATCATAATGGGTTATGTTAACCAGCCATTTTTTGTGTATAAACAGCATGCAGTAGAGCTCATTTTAAACAGGCAACTTGACAATTGTGTTAATACATTCCTGAATTTAAGAAACCTACTGTATAGAAAAAGAAAACTAGCGACTGCCATTCTGAATAGAGAAAGCTAGTTGGATGACCACCGAAACATCAAGAAAAATACAGCAAATCCAATTGGCTTGATTTAATGTTTACAGATTTTTTACGGCCAGTATGTGCCTTATTTTGAAGATGCGTGCTGCTGGCAGTGTCTAAATTCAATATTTTCTGATCAGACGTGACAACTCCTGATCTACATATATGTTTTAGGTTTGAGTAGTGAAAATATTGAAAAAATGGATCAGCATGATGGCTAACATATTCGGTAGCAGTTAGTAAAGTCTGAGGCGATGGTAGGATGAAAATAAAACCTATCATCTGTGACACGCAGCCTGACTGAGATGGAAGTCCATCTGGTGAAGAACCCAACTGAGGCTGTGACCTATAATGCTCAGTGCCCAAACAACTATCCCAGTGCCAATTTAAAGGGTTTTCTAAATGCCACCACAACACGCCTTCCCAGTCCATAGGCGTTGCATCACAGCGCAAAGCAAGGAAATGCACTCCAATGCAACACAATGACGAAAATGATGGCTGCAGGATTTTTGGTCAATTGGGATGCATTAAGCTGCCCAGTCAAAAAAAAAATGGGCAGTCCTTAATGCAATGCACATGCATTTAAAAAGCCATAATCTTGAACAATGATCAGTCTAAACCAGCGAGAAATGGTGAAACAAGAAGCTAGTTCCCCTCTATGGGGACTATCAGGAATAACTAAACAAGTCAGTCTTTCTAATGGAGCAGTGGCTGAGAGGTGAACTCTTACAGCAAGACTACATCCAAACAATGAAGGGAAATTCCCTTTTGATGTACAGGAGCTGAACATGAAGATGGAAGGACAATGTACTGATGAAGGTGAAAGTCCAAACCCCCCCCTAGGAAGAATAGAGGCTCTATGACTTGCTTAGCAGGGAGAGGAATTTCCTCTCCCTTAGGCCTGGTTCACACCTGGGCGTTTTACAGCACGTTCCTACACGCTGTAAAAGAAAATAGAAAAAAAAAATTTAAAATCATACCGCCAGTTTCTCTAACCCAAAAACGGACACAAAATTGTTGGTGTGTGATATTCAGAGATCTGATCACTTGTGTTAAGCTCACTACTTCCTTCGGGCTCTAGAAACTAGGGAGCGTGGCTTATTGTGACAACTGCAAAGTGCATTTTATCAGTGTAATAGGCTTTTCATCCAATGAAGGGGAAAAAAAAAAAAAATGAAGATTTTATATAAGTTTGTGATTGCCATGTTATCAGATTATATAATTAGGAGGATGGCAGAATAATCAAGCACATTTTCCAAGGTGTAGCATATTTATTAGATAAAACGAATGCTTCAGAGACTCGAGGTTTGTACAAAGTAGAAGAGAAATATAATGAGTACGTGGGAAGGTTTCTATAGCAAAGGTGAAGTGACATAACACCAAATAAGCCTTTTGGCTTACCTTCCTCCCTCTTCACTGGTATCCAGGCAGCCTATTATATTAATCAGCTGCTGCCCAATGAATGCTTTAGTCATCAGGTCTTCAATTTTAGTCATGTCTGCTTTTTCTTCCTCCGTTAGAACAGGAAGTGTTTGAAGATAACTGGGGGGGGAAAAAAATAAGAGTAAATTATTTGAAAATACAGATCATGCAGTAATGAGATTCTTACCACATATTCATCTTGGAACTAGTTTGCAACAAACACACACAATGCATTGACCAGCATTGCACGTTTTAAAGAATTTACTTGAATGCTAAACATATTCAAAATCACAGCATGCAAGGCTTTTTAATATCTAATGCAGTTTAATGCAACCTAAGGGTGTGCACAGATCATTTGTTTCATTTTTTTTCTTGCGGTCTATGCATTCTGTTCCTTAGGTTTCTTCTGATGAGGGAAATGGGTGCTCCTGGCTCCAGTATCATCCTTGAGGAAATTGTCAAGCTGGTCTAAAGAGATTCTGTCACTCGAAGGCCATGCTGATCAATTGCTTTTTACACAAGGGTTAAATCCAACGATTTAACTAAATTGGCCTAAGCATATGAACGGACACAAGACAAGCCTCTAGTAAATTGTCAAAGATGAAATTTAACGCTACAGCCATCTGCTCCACAAGTTATGTAAGCAATGATTCAACCATATAGACCACTTGCCAACCATATGCCTAAACTCTTCACTGAGCAAATATAAGGCTAATAATCATTTAGGGAGAGCAAACAGGTCAGGTTGCTTCTAATCACAGCAGTTGGATAAGCGAGTATAAAGTATTTGCAGCTTAGGCAGGTCATATTGGCACAGTTTATCATTTGCTGCAAAATCATGTCACCAGGCTCTTCTATCACAGAGTGTTCTCTGTAGCATTGTGCACAGAACACTCTGAAGGACACTGCAAGCTCCTCCGCATGCCCTGCATTTTATAAAAGGAGTCGTAACATAGTAAAGCTAGTGGTGCCCACTGTCAAAGTGACACTAACCTCAGGAGGTAAATCTGAAAAATGCATTCAAGTACCTTATCTGTAGATCTTCAAATCATCTCTGAATTCATACTGACACTGTCCTTCCTTCTGGAGGGCGGCTACCTTTGTTCCCCATGGTCCCAGTGTGTGTTGTAAAGTAACTACTCCAAGCTCACTCCCGTGCTAGACTACAATCTCAATACAAAATTAGTAAACTAAACAGGAGATTGTAGTCAATCACAGCAGTGAGCTTGGAGCGGTGACTACTTTGCAATACATATAGGGACCATGGGGAACAAAAGTAGCCCCCCTCCAGAAGAAAGGACACGGTCAGCATGAATTCAGAGATGATTTGAGGATGTACAGCCGAGTGATGCACAGACAAGGTACTTGAATGCCTTTTTATGATTAATCTCGAGTTTAGTGACACTTTTAGTGCCACTAAATGTCCCTCAATGTTTACATTTACATTAAGTCTGCATTATAATGTCCCAAAATATAAAGCAAAGGAATTCAGCCACCTGCTTTTAACTTAATTTCTCAATTTGTAGTGCACAGATGGTTAGTCAAGACAGGCACGTTTTTTTCCTTCTTAACGATTATGCTATCTAGCAAAGACAGGACAGAGACATCTCCACAAGTTTAGATGCAGAGATCGCTTCCACATGAGCCGCAAGGGCTACTTTAAAAAAAAAAAAAAAGGGACCTGTATAGGATGGTGGCCATCATTGCAGACTTGTTTTTGAAGGCACCCTCTTGGGAACAGTTTGCTTTAATAACAAGTTACTCAGAACTAGCATGTGCAAACAAGTATACCAACAACTGATATGCACATGCTTGTTCCAGGTCAGGGACTCGCCAATCAAAGTCAAGACCAGAATTAACAGTCCTGGAATTTGCATTTTTAACAATATCAACAATCATAGCATAAATGTTTCTATCCTGACGAGATATTTGCAGGAAAATCTGAAAGCACAGAAACAATGAGCACCCATTCACACTGGGGCAAAACACATTAAATGCGTTAGCATGTTGGAGTGCCATTGAAAATAACTAATTTGTCTAAATGGGTAAAGGAATAAGTGTGCTGCACAACACCACAACACAGGAGAATGCACCACATTTGACGTGATGTGACGCATTCGAAAAAAATGGTGCATGTCTGATTTGTTTGGTGTAACACACTAGGATGCCAAGGGGTGAATGGACCCAGAAACCAGTCATTGTGTATCTGGTGATTCGTTCATATCTTACTGGAGATACTAAAGCCCGGGACACACTGCATGTGAAACGCTGCGGAGCAAACCTGTGAGGTGTGGATGTTCACATGCAGTGTGTGAGCCGACTGTGGCCAGATAAAAGACTGCATCTTCAGCCAACCGGCTCGCGTGTAACAACTGAATGGACTTTGCACCCTGATGCGCTGGTTTGTATGCGAGCCGATTGGCTCAAGATTACATTTTTCATCAAGGGCGCGCTCAGCTATGCGACCTCTCACAAGTTCGGCGTTGCTTTGCGTGCCCCAGGCTTTAGTGTGTTCTTCTGAATATGCATATATTAGGGTTTCAGTTACTTCAATAGAAAGACATTGTTACCTTAAGAGATAATCCGCATACACAGCTGGCTCTGGTAAAATTTGCTCCAGTGCAGCCTCCCCTTCATCACCTTTGGATTTGACGTACTCACAAAGTGCTTTCCAATACAAAACATTTTCTGGAGTCAAAGTATCCAGTGGTACGAGTTTCCTAAACAGGGAAAAGAAAAAACGGTCTGCATTCAAACTGCAAGAAAGCTGTTGCTATGCAACTTCATCATATCTCACTAAATGAGAAACACTGCATGCCCCTGTTTGCCCCGGGAGAACTGAAAGCAGGACGCAATATTGGTGTTAATTCACAGCAAACTGACAATAAGAAGTCACAAGCTTGCCTTAAGGATGGGTTCACACCTGGGCGTACGGAATACGCACGTTTTTACTGCGATATGCAGTAAAAGAAACGCGCGACAAACACGCGTTTACGAGGGCTATCCGGCTGTATCCTAATGGATATGCGTGGCAAATATGCCCCAAAGAAGCTCCTGTACTTAGGGCGTTTTCAGCCCGTTCTTACGCGCTGTAAAACGCCCAGGTGCGAACCATGCACATAGGCAATTATTGGTTTTCACATGTGGAGCGTTTTACAGCGTGCAGGAACGCACTGTAAAACGCTCAAGTGTACACTGTGCTGGGATAAAAACCAGAGGCAGCCTTTGCTGACCTCCTCCTGAAAATTCTAGTTCCCTAGCAGTTATACTGATTCAATCCCTTCGAAGCTTTTAGTTAATAACTCAGAACAAGTATATAGATAAGGAGTTCTGACTGCACTTGCTGCATAGCTTTCTCTGCTCAGAAGCCCTGTATATATTTAAGCAATTGGATCTGTGACTCGGTTGTAGAACAAGTGATGCAAACAATCAAGTGGGTAATCACATGCAAAGAAGTGCACCAGAAACTGAAATATCAGTTTTGGGTGAACTGCCCCTTTCAAAGGGAAAGTAATGACAATGGGATTCACATAATGTCAATATTATATGTATTACTATTGAAAGAAAGAAAAAAAAAAAAAAAATCACAATATGTAATGTAATTTTAACAGGTTATTATGTGATGTTTAATAAGACTGGTTTGTATTAAGCGGAGTTCTATGGTTCTTTGCACCCGTCTATTCTTAGCTGTTGAAATAAATTACATACATACATACGTGACTTTTGCATTGCCAAATGGTTGCCGTTTAATATTTTTATTACTACAGTACACACAAACATACAGCTTCTGTAGTGGCAATCCGTTTACTAAATGGCTGCTGAGGGAAGCACTATAGATGACTAGATCAGTACAATCTCTATGCTGTATTACAAAGCAAGGGTAACCTGCATATATATTAAGCATATATGTACCTAGATACTTACAAACCATTCATGGAAACACGGGTTTTAAAACATTTACAGATAAAGATTATACAAAGTTACTGGTTAAGCTAAATCTAAAGCCAAAAGTGTTTTTCCCATTTTGGATTGTGTAGGGGAGGGATAAAAGCGCCATCAGTATTTTTTGGCCACCTGTGTCCCATTAGGAAAACTTCCTTTATTTCCTGTCTTTTAGAGACTCAACAGGGAGTTAGATCATATCCTTTCCATGTCAGTGAAATCTCCCTCTTAGACAGTGTTCATAGGAACAAGTGAAAGATCTCCCCTCTATTAGTGTCCTGGTGACAACTCAAAGTTTTGGATTACCCCCACTTTCATCCCTGTGACCTTGGTACAGGGATGTGAAATTCGTATCGCCCGATGCCCGGACATGCAGTTCTGGGCGGGAAGTTTTCCCCCCCCGACATTTAGCCCTGTTCCCGGCTAGCAGAGCTAAATGTAGATCAGGGCAGCTGCCACTTATTTAGTAGAAGTGATCCGAGATCGCTTGTATAAAATGAGCAGTGATCTTGTCCCCTCTCCCTGCCGCTCTTCTGGTGGACCCAGGACCACGGCAAATGAGCGCAGGATGGAGAGCGGGGAGCAGAGAACGTCCGTTCTCCACTCTGCGTTCTGTGATCAGTGAGATCAGCGCCACCTGTCTCAGCTGTCAGAAACCGCACAGAAGATGTGTTGGAAGGCAGGTTCCATAAAGACAACCCTGCTACTCCCATCATCTGCAGGCAAAAAAAACATTCCACTGTGTGCCATATTGTGGTGACTGGGCAGCACCGCTCTATAACACGCACCATGTGCATTAAAGGGCAAGTTCACTTTCCTAAGTCATTTGGGAAAATGGAATTGCATGCGTAAATCTGGCTAACTCCCTGCCCCCCCAACCCACCCGCTATACTTACCTTTTGGCGAATAGTCCTTTCCCTCCACTAGTACGGGTGTATCTGTACCCTGTACTGCAGTCCAGCGCTATGCTTTTTGAATTTCGCTCGCAAATTGCAAGCACTCATTGGTCAGGTGACCAAGTTGAGCAATGAGAAGAGGTATATAGCACGGTTAAATACGGTTTTGATTAAAACTATTTTTTGTATCGGGACAAATAGATTGGGCCTCCGCTTTAGCCCTTGGGCAAGTCGTTTTTTTTTTAAATTTCCACACCCCTATTGGTAGCCAGGACAAATCACTAAAAGGTTTTGAACAGAGGTTCTAACCCCTCAGCACCCTAATATGAAAAAAATAGTTTGGCCATTGATTCAAACCACATAACAATTTCAAAGCCATGCTCTACATATACAAGTGACGGGTTTATCTACCTTTCATCAATATTTTTGCACTTCTCAATCAGCTCATTGAGAGAGGACAGAGAAAACATTGCATTGAGTGCAGCGACTGCAACTTCTGGAGAATTTTCCACATCTAGACGATGAAGCAGCTCTAAAATGTTCCCCTCTGTGTATTTCAGCCATGACTGCAGCAGCTTCTTCTGCATGATTCCCTTCACAGCCTCTGTGACAAGACACATGGATGGTAACAACCAAATGCTTAAAAATGACATGCACAATGAAGGAACATTCAATATATTTTACACAGAAACCAGCAGAATTGACATTTGAAATAGGAAACCAGAGTTAGACTTTCCAGTAGTCTTCCAAGGTAGCATGAGACAGAAGCTCCTCCCACCATGTCAGGAAACAGGTCACCAGGTCCAATGTTAAAAGGAGGCCCTTCTGACACTTCAGTTATATTACAACTGGAGTACTGTACTGGAAAAAGAAAATACAACAGCTGGAACCCTGCCGTCCTGGAAGAAAATGGGAGTTAAGGCTAAAACAGATTTTCCCCAGTTGTCTTCCAGGACAGCATATAAGAGAACTTACCAGACTAGGGTGGTACCACAGCTTGGCCTGGACCTAGCTTCATAAATGGACCAGCAGATAGTGAATAAACATGGAAAAGCTTAACCATGTAGCAGCCTTATAAATCTGTCCTGGAGTGGCACCAGCTTTTTCCACCCAAGGCCCCCTGCATTGACTAAAGGAGGAGGGGTAGCCGGCATGATTTTATTGGATTCACAGATGGCAAACCTTATCCAGCGTGCAAAAGGCAACTTGGAAGCTTGGCTACCTGTGTTCTGTCCTGAAAATAAGAGGACTACAGCATCCAAATTCCTGAACGCTCTTGTAGCTTGGTACATTTAATTGTACTTTGTATATTCAGGATAAGAAGGTTCTGTTATCAAACTACTTCCTATAAATGGCCCTATTAAATCTGGAAACGAAACTCTACAGGAAACTTCCTCCTGCCAGTCTTGCTCAAATCCAGCAAGGAAGGTGCGAGAGCACCAATATCCCCCAAAAACTCCACCTGAGACTTGCTTATAACTGCACAGCACAAAAAAAGATGGGGATCAAGGTGCAGTAACAGGTTGGGAAGATGGTCACAAATATCCACCAAGAGAGACCTGAAAGACAGGAAGGTGGAGGCCAACTCATCTTTCATGGATGAAAGGAGGTTGCTACAGGAACTGGCAGAATACACTGTAAGCACATTAGGCTGACACAGAGGTTTTGACTAGGAACTACCCAACTTAAGAGCTGCAAACAGCAGATTTGCTTTTGGGAATGGTCCCTCTCGCCTTCTTAGGAGCTTTGGCCTAAAAGGAAAACAGCAAGAGAGGGAAGTAGACGAGACACAAACAGTGCCCCTCCACCATAAGCCTAACACCAAGGGGCCCCAGACAAACCATTACAGGCTAGGTAAATTCCCAGGAATAACGCAAAATAGGTACAGCCACCTTCTGCTCACCTTTGGCCTGCCGGAGTCAAGTGTACCTGTATATGCCTGAGCTTGCAGCCTGTGCAGAGGATCAATTATTGTATGGCCAGCCATTCCATTAGTGGCATGCTCCCATCCAGTAATGGGAGGGACCACCAAAGAAGGCACCGGCAGGCCATAATCTTTGCTCATGTGCCAAAACCAGGCTTGAAACCACAGCCTCCAGCACCCGAATATGACATTACCCTACCCGGAAGTGACAATCAGCGTAAATCGGTCAAGCAGAAGTGGCCAAAGTCATGCATCCTCAGTTTCTGCAGTAAGGCTGCCAAGAGGGTGAGTCAATTACAGATATGGCCTTCACCTAACACTATAAGGAGGTGGGAAACCAGGCCTTCTCCTGCCTGTATGTAAGAAGGGGTCATGAAAGGCAGAGTATCAGGGAAATGTCTGCATGTACTTCCTGAAATAGAGGTAGGAAATAGGGATAGGTAGTAAAGAGTGACGGGCAAATAGGAAACAAATACAGAGGAACACTTTGGAAGAACCTCATTTTAACATGACTTGACCTGGTGACTTGTTTTCTGTCCCAGTGGGTGGAGCCTAAGCTGTCCTGGAAAGCTGACGGGGGGGCGGGGGGTGGGATTGGTGGTTTACAACATTCATTGGAAATTATGTAGTCAGTGAAATGCTTACCTGATCTGTCATTAAGTCCTAGTTGCAAAAGTTTAACTCTCTGAGCAATGGTAAGTGCTCTTATGTGAACTTTTTCAGCCAAAACCTTTAACAGGAAGAGAGAAACAAAACACACAGAAATAGAGAGCTCAAACAACTTCAAAAAGCAACAGCCATGATACATGATGGAAAATATTGTAAAACACATACAAAAAGGTTCTTTTTATTTTTAACATTCTGCACACCAGGGCTTGAAAAATCCTACATAAGCTAACAGTCATTGAACCTCAAATATTAAAGTTGATGCCCATTTTGTTTTGTGCTTTTTATTAGTTTTTTTTTTTTTTTTTACACATTTTTTTAATAATTATTTTTAATTTGTGTGTGTGGGTGACCTGACATTTCCCTTTTGAAATAGAGGACAGAGTCCTCAATTTCTTTTTCTGCAGCCTCAGCACTCAATACAGAGGCTTCAAATTCATTCAGAAACTGCTGACCAGTATCTGAATGGGGAGGAGCCTCTATAGTGAGTGCTTCTCCCCATTGAGAAAATCATGAATGAACAGGAAGTTATGTAAATCACATCCTGTTCATTCATAACTGGGGACACATAGTACTATGTGTCCCCAGATATTTACACACACTGGAGTGATCAGGCGATCACTCCAGTGTTTGTACTGCACACGGAGGATCGGTAATGTCAATGATATTTATCGATCCTCCGCCACGCACAGAGCCGCTGTCATCCGGAAACTGACAGGATGACAGCGCCTCCGCTCTCCTCACTGCTCGGCCTATCCTGAAACTTGTGGCTTCTCCCCGCCAGCCGCCGCTCACTCCTCCACCCCCACGCCGGAGATTTTTTTTGGATCCCCGCTGCCACGGCCCCTACAAGCGAGGGACAGACACACATCCCTGCTTGGGTGGTAGCCCAGTATTTTTGTTAATAGCGGTCATCAGCGGCTTGTGAGCTGCTGATGACAGCTATTCGTTTAAAGGGGACAGTCGGGGGAACAGTTCTACTATACGTTTATTGCAGAACTGTAAATGCCACCGCCGTAAGGCATACTGACCTGGCCAGCTGGGAACAGTTTTGTTCCACCATATGCCTTATGTCGGTGGCAGGGAAAGGGTTAATACTTGGCTTCGCCGCACGCTCCTGTCCAAATATCTGAAAATTTCTCGTGCAGCCACAAAGGATTTTGGGGCGGACGCAGTTCAGATGTTTGGTCAGAAGACGAGGAGACACACAAGATAAGTATATGGAGCAGTGTGCACCCACACAGACTCCGTGGGACATGAGAGAAGGAGGACAGAGGAGTCAGCGCTGGATCAGAGACCAGCACTGGAGGGACAGCTAAAAACTACCGGAAAGAAGATGATCGGATTAAGAGGCATCATTTAAGACAGTGGTTCTCAACCTTACTAGGGCCGGGACCCCTTGGTAACATTTGCCAAGTTGTGGTGACCCCCAACGGTAAAATTTAGGGATGACGCGACTGCTGCAGCGACACCTGGCGGCGTTGCGGGAGAACTGACACTAGTGCGCTAGGAGAGGGCTGAGGAGGACTCTCACCTAGCACAGCAGAAATCACACAGCGACCCACAGGTTGAGAGCCACTGCTATAGGCAAAGACAGAACCGGGCTCTGCAGTTGGAACTAGAAGAATTGGATTTAAAGTGTGTGGCTATATAACGTATGAGGTACATACTCCGCAGTACTGTCACTGACAGAGAAGCCCATAGAGTTCAGTGTAAGCCGTGAGAGTTACCCCTGATAAGATTTACTTACTTCTCCTTCTCCAGTCTGTACTCCTCCCTCCACACTCTACTATGCTGGAGGACCTTGCGGTGTGACAGTCATGTGACCAGCTCCTGGGGTGGGCGGGGCCGGCTGTGCTATGTGTACGCCGCCAGAATAAAAATAAACAGAATAGGAATGCATAGTTAAGATTCCTATTGGCCATTTCACTTTGCAATATCCAATTGCAAACTAGCTATTGCACCCGCCCTCTGCTGCGGTCATTCACTAGAAGGGGACCTGATGAAGAAATTCAGGTCCCCCTCTGCTGATTGGCAGCAGCACAGGGCGGGTGCAATAGCTAGTTTGCTATTGGCTAGTGCAAAGTGAAATAGCCAATAGGAATCTAGCTATGCATTCCTATGGTGTTTTTTTCTTTTTTCTGACTGTCGGCGGCCTGCAGCCCCGATGTCAGAAAAAAAAAAAAAAGAGCAGAGGAAGGTTTAATCTGCTCGATCAAGTGTTTCTCTCCTGGGCGGTTAGGAGCCGCTAGGTGACCCCTGGCAAATCGTCATTCGACCCCCGACGGGGTCGCGACCCACAGGTTGGGAACCACTGATTTAAGGAAAGTCCTTACATTAGCATTTGGGGGGGGGGACTTTTGCCCTTAATGCCACTTTAACCACCTACCATCTGGAGTAATTTTTTTAATTTTTGCACACACAAAATCTGAATTTTTGGCTAGAAAAAAAAGCTTAAAATTCCCAAACAATTATATATATTTTCTGAAAGCAGAGGTCGTGTAGAGAATGTTGGTTGCACGATATATGTGCAAATGTTTATCAAACCGGTATTTTTAGGATATAATACACAAATTATTTTTAGTGCACAAAAATGTTTTTTTTTAGTAAAATATTAAATACAGGGATTGTGTCGGGTAAACAGATACCAATCATGTCAAGTAGAGATGCACCGATACCGGTATTTTGATACTGAGTACTGATAAAAAAAATTCCGGTGCTCGCCGATACCAATTACGGAGTAACGGAAGTCCCATTCAGGAAGCAAGGTGGCGTGTAATGACTCACCACCTGGCTTCCTGATTAGCTGGGCAGAGTGTAATGACTCGCCACCGGGCTTCCTGATTAACAAGAAAGTCTGTCCCCTCTCACCTTGGCATGTCCAGCCTGTCACCCCCAGGGCCTCTCTAGCCAGAACGTGGCCTTCCTCCGGTACCCAGCCGGAGCCGTCTGGTTGGCCAATCATGGAAGCCGGCCGCCGTGTAATGACGCAACGCCCTGCTTTCTGATTGGCCGGCTCCATGCTCCCTCGTCATGAGATGACGAGGGAGCATGCAGGCAGCTTCCGGGCCAATCAGAATGCCATTACACGGCGCCCAGCTTCCTTATTGGCCAACTTCCCGACCAATCAGGAATCCGGGCAGTGCGTCATTACATGCTGCCCGGCTTCCTGATTGGCCTGGAAGTCGGCTCCATGCTCTCTCATCACAAGTGACGAGAAAGCATGGTGCCGCTTCCCAGCCATTCAGGAAACCGTGCAATGACACACTGCCCAGCTTCCTGATACAGGAAGTATCGGGCTAGGCATCGGAGCATTTGGGCGAGTACAAGTACTCGCCGAAATACTCGGTATCGGCACCGATATCGATACTAGTATCGGTGCATCCCTAATGTCAAGCCTTAAAATTGCGTGCCCCCGTGAAATCATAAAAAACTACAATACCCAGAATTGCCCATAGGCGATGCTTTAAAAACTTCAACCGCACATAAATTTAGTGTGAACAGTGATTGATGTCCCTAAAATTATTGCTCTCATGAAGACGTTCGCTGTGTTATGTAACGTGTGGTGCAAACGTCATTTGCACACATAGGCATACCAGACACGCGGTTGTGTATGTGGGGGCAGAGGACTATTAAAAAAAAAATTAGTTTTTTCATTTTTTTATATAATACACTTAACTGTATTGCTATCACATAGGGGGCTAACAAGCAAAATAGTGTGACAGGTCTTCTTTATGGAGACATTAGGGGGTCTATAAGACCCTTAATGTCACCTACAGACCCAAAAGAAATTAATGCAGCACAGATAGTCCTTCATATGTCCCAAACTAATAGATGAGCTATAAATAAAATGCCTCATTCAGACATTTACCTGGTAGGCAAGTTTCCTCACTTGCTCCTTGACATCCATAGTGCGTCCTACAATTTTTGGTAAGGTTCTGGCAGAGGGAGCAATGCAAGATAACACTGCCCTTCTTACCTCTGGATTTAAATCATTTTCCAGCAAATGCATGTAAACTATGAAGAAAAAAAAAAAAGATAGAATATTACAAAATATATAATGAAAATGGTTCTCTCTCCTACTAACAGTCTAGTGTTAAAGCAGAACTCCAGCCAAAAAACAAATAGCCTAATGAAAAACAAAACAACATGCAAGCTTTACAATAAACTACAAATGCTCATAGGAGTCACTAAATAATAAAATGTTGCTGTACATAAATAGCTCAAAGTTCTTTAAACATATATGCTAAAATAAGTATCTGAGCTTATCTTTATAAAATCTTAAGTGTGAGGCGACCACAATGCTGGAGGTATTTACCAGTGAACAATCATAATTCACTTTGTGGTGTTGACAAAAATGTTTGGGCCGTCCCCTCCTGATAATGCCAACTGCCTGTTGTCATGCTGATCCAATAACGGAGTCACTGAGCGGAAGTTATGCAGAAGTTCTGACTTCACTTGCCACATACTTGCTCCAGGTTCAGATGTGCAGACTTTTTTTTCAAAGGCAGTGACAACATATAGAATCCAGACGGTCAACACAACAGGCAGGTAACTAGCACTTTCGGAAGGAGTGATAAAAATGGCAGCCTCCATATTCTCAGACAGACTTTTTTTAAAGCGACACTAAACTCAAGAGTTACGGCGGCCATACATTGTGCGATTTTTGTTCGGAAATCGTACACGAACGGTCTTCCGAACAAAATTCGAACAGTTGATGGTACATTACTGATTTTTTATATTGTGATAGAAATTTTTCAGTCAGGTTGGAACATTTTTCTCTGACCCAACGAAAAATCGATGAAGCAGTGGGGTTTTGGTTCAGCAAAAATCTCAGCAAGAACACAGCACATGCGCAAAACGAAATCATTTCTGTAGATTGTCAAAAATTGGTTGGTTGGTTATGGCTAAAATTGGTTGGTTGGTTACGGCTAACTAACTATTTCTAAAAACCACATTTGACTATGCTTGATGGGGAAGTCTAGGTTTAATTGAACGAGGGTTCATGCCGGAAACGAACATTTCGGACATAAATCGTACAAATGTATAAGCTGTAAACCTTACAAAATGCATTCAAGTACCTTAACCACTTACAAACATGTATCTTATTTGTGCATCACTGTGTGTGTTGTAAATTAGCCACTGCTCCAAGCTCCCATAATGGACTACAATGTCCCGTTTAGTTTACAAATTTGTATTGAAGTTATAATTCATCACAGGAGTGAGCTTGGAGCGGTGACTACTTTACAACACACAGGGACCATGGGGAACAGAAGTAGTCACCCTCCAGAAGGAAGGACAGTGTCAGCATCAATTCAGAGATGATTTGAGGATCTACAGCCGAGTGATACACAAATAAGATACAGTATTGTTAATAGTTAAGGTACTTGAATGCATTTTGTAAGATTTAACTCCCGAGTATAGTGTCACTTTAAATGGAGACAAATCTACCACAAGACCCTGTGAGGCTGATTCTCATGTGAAAATTTGATAATTGAAGTGTAAACTCAAACAATTTATTGCGATAGCATTCTCAACTTCTTTAGTATATCAGCTTCAGTATGTGATATATAATACAGTTTATTAGGCCTCATTCACACAGCGTAAAGTCGGGCCATATAGATCCGTGCACGGCCGCATGGGCCCGTTCCCGGAAGTGACAGGTGCTGCATGCGATTGCACGCAGCCATACGCTGTTATATGCACACGCGAACTGCACATCCGTGAGGGTGTAGGTGTCCGTCCCCGGAAAGGATCCATTCGGTCTGCGTACGAGTATGGACACCCGCGCCTTCCCATAGAGAAGAACAGGCTGCTGCATGCAATCACACGCAGCACCTGACCGGATACGGCCGTGCACGCCACCCGGATCAGTACGGCCCGACTCTACTCTGTGTGAATGAGGCCTTATAGTCCGTAGAATATATATCTCCATCACAGAAAATCGCTCACCATTAGATACAGGACAGTCAATGTCATTTGGGTCCTGGAGCCTGGCCAGTGCCAGAACTGCTTGGATCCGCACATTGGGTACTCTGTCAGTCACACGTATGAGCATGGCTTCATGGATCTTATCAAACAGGTCATCATCAATCTGCGCATTTTCAGGTAAATTAACCAGCAGCTTATAGATAAGTTGACAAACCCTGAACCGCACTGCCATGCTATTGGCCACATGAGACTGCAAAAGAAAAATAAATAATGAATAATGGTAAGTTGTATCCTTGAAACATGTAACAATGCATTCATAAACAAGATCACTTTTTCTCCTTTGCTGAATATAATTTAGGATTTCAGCACCATCTAGTGTTCACAACACATACACACACACTATAAAAATGGGAATACGCAAGAAAATTCGGCACGTCGTATAAACTTGCTTGAGGGAGGATAAAAAGCAGGTACAGTAGCTTGAAATTATTATTATTACCGTATATACTCGAGTATAAGCCGTCCCGAATATAAGCCGAGGTACCTAAAAGGAAGACATTACAATCACAACAATCACAATACAATTCAAGACAAGATGGTAAGGAGGGCAAACAGGGAAATGAAGAGATATCCTAAATGGGACAGGAAGTCATGGATAAAGCTAGAAGATGACAAACATTTGAGAACCAGGGTAGAATAGGTGGTGGGGGGGGGGGTTCACAAAGAGATGAGATCTTAAAGGCCAAGTTTAGTTTTTAAACCATGGTTCACGTTTCATCTACACACAGGATGTACAATGAAACACGGTGACATACCCCTACATATGGTTATGTAGTGGACGATATAAGTTTAGGGGAGTCATTTTGTAAGCAGGGAGAAACCTTCTGAGGTTCCTCTAGCATATCCTCATTTTCTTCCATGTCTAGGGAGGGGAGAAGAGAGTGGTAGAAATCACCAGTCAGGTGCCACCTTTCCGAAATTAATGAGTAATCAGGGGGAATACACTAAATTGTGAAATTCCAGGCCTTAATTGAAAGTTGGAATCTGAAGATTAGTGGGTAGTAAATTGTTAATGCCCAAGCAGTTGACCCACAAACAAAAGTCTGGCCTTGAACCAGACCGTGTCAGGAATGGCCTGTAGCTCAGGAAGTGGAGTTATCCCAAAACAAGGTGTAGAATTCATTTTCTAAGGAGGGGTTAATTTCGGGGGTACCTTAGTACAGGGCTCAACAAATGGCAGGTGCCAGGTCTTTTTTCACCTGCCTCCACTGCATCAACTCTGCTACCCCCCTGCCCCACATTGAGAGCATGCTGCGATCTGTGTCTCCTTCGATCCCGCCTGTATCAGCAGAGGCAGCGGGGATCTGCGGGGACACAGACTGCTGCAGCTGGCACCCAGCGTGGAGGAGAGACCTTTGTCAGCCGCTGTGTCCTCCTTCAGAACTTTCTCCTTCCGGTCCCACCTCTGCTGATTGACAGGAGGGTGCAATAGCCAGCCTGCTATTCCAATTTGAAACAGCCAATAGCTGGCTGGCTATTGCTCCCAATCACTGTCTGCTGTGTGGTTTACAATCAGTTGCCTCAGTAGGCAGCTGTCATTCCCCAGCTAAAGCCATTGAAGCTAATAGACCCCTAATGTCATTTTAAAGAGAACCTGTCATCTCCAATGTGCTATCACATGGGGGGCTTGGGAGCACGCGCCCCCCCGTGATAGCGATAAAGTAAAAAAAAAAAAGTGACAATTTTTGCACAAGTCCCACAAAAACGCACGCCAATTAAAACTGAGTAAGACTGTAATTGGAAACTTCGTGTGAAATATTTTGTTTGCATTGCAGGACTACATATTCAAGTTATTAACTCTTCTCACTTTGTCACCTGTCCATACCTGAGCGTTCTGTCACCTGTAGCAAAACGCCTTTTGCTGGAAAAGTACATGAGCTACTTTCCTGCCCTTCTGGCCCCAAAGAACTTCAATGGTAACACCTGTAAATGCATGCTACAAGCGGTGTCACACTTTGTTTGTGCATTTCACGCACAAGCACAATCTACCGCTGAAAACGATTGATGAACACGCATAAAAGTGTGCGAAAACACTAGACAAAAGGTGCGAAAATGCTGTTGCCTAGGTGTGTACAGAGGCTTAGTCTAACAGAAAGCTGCCGGAATACCCAAACACTGGCTTAAGCCGACTGTCCGCAGTGGAGGGCTCCTTTCACGAAAGCAGCTTATCAAAAAACCCAACAGGTAAATAACCGACTCTTGTTGAACAGGACAGTTCTGTCAGGTCCACACACAGCTGGACTATCGTCTGATTCAGTGCTACTGATTAATCTAGCGTCCCTACTATAACTAAATGTAAAGCAGTGAGTGGATCTCATGCAGAATCACGGGGAAATAATACTGCTGGAAGCCTACAGAGTGTTATTATAAGATCTAAAATTAAAACACAATATAAGGCCACTTACCTGAAGAAGGAAATGAAATAAATAATTGACAGGGGAATTTTCCTCATCCATCTCATCTTCCTCATCGTTAGAACTGTGAAAAGAAGTCACAAACTTTGCCACAAAATCCATAACCCGTTCCACAGCCGGCTCCCTCCTGTAGACTATCAGGGGGTATTTCAGGTAGTGAGCAAATTCTTCCAGAAATATGGATTTGTCTTCAATCTGTGAAACATTGAAGGTATCAGGGCATTAGTTCTGCATAGCTGTAATAAAACAATATATCTCATTCATTCTTATGGCCCCTGTTCACATGTGAGCGTTTTGTCGCAATAAGCAAAATGCCGGTCGCTGGAAAAAATACAGGAGCTTCTTTTTGACAAATTATGGTCTCAATAGGAAACACTTGGAAACCTGGTTGCGATCATTTTGGCACGTTGGTACGTGCCTTTTGCCCATATACATTAATGTGTGTCACATTAATGTATATGGGAAAAAGGCACGTACCAACGTGCAAAAATGATCTCCTCATAAAAACACGCAACTTAATGCACACGCATAAAACGCTGTCGCCTAGGTGTGATTAGAGCCTAAGAGGAACAGAGGCAGGGTGGGCTAACATTTCCCCTCAGGGGTGAGTCCTTAGCCAGTTTGTGGGATGTGAATGTAACATTGGGCGCCAGTCACTTTAAGGATTTTATAATATTTGATTCCTTAAGTGATAAAAATGAGAGAGAGGGTAAAGGGCTAGAGATCTAGGACAGTACAGAACTCCAGAATCAGCAGCCACTTTCCAGAGCAGAGGGCCTTTAAACTGATTGCAGTAACACTGTATTGAAGAACCTCAGCTGGTTAGCAGATCTAGCATAGAATTCCCTAGGTAAGACACCAGACTTTTGTGAGGTCCTGGCATCTCCAGCAGACAAAGTTCCTCCCTGGTTCTCCATCCCATGATCCCAGGTACAGTTTCTGACCCTGACTGGGTCCACCTGCAGGTTACAGGTCCAGTCAGACAGCACACCCTTCTCCAGGCAGGAGGTCCGGGGGGGGGCATAGAATACCCAGGCCTGATGTAGCTGGAAGGGGTATCCGAGAAGCTGCACTGAATAGGGCTGCAATCTATAACCCTGTCCTTTTTGTCTCAACAGATGTATAAATACTGAATTTCCCACATAGAATACTTCTTTGGGGAGGTCTCTCTAGCCACGGGTTTCCTTTAAAGAGCTCTAAAGCTTGGAATGTACTCTGGATGGAAACAATCCCTGCAGGGTAAATCCAAAATTCTCAGTGGTCACCAGAACAGGAATAGAGGGGACATTTTCCAATGGGGACACATGTTCTTGTGACATCTGCGTGAGAATGGATGTCCTTTGCAATGGAAAGCCATCCTCTCGCTTCCTGTTGAGTCTACAGGACAGGAAATGAAGGCAAATCTCCCCAATGAAAGAGAAGGCAGGCAGCAGTTTTAACCATTCACTCCTCTAAGGTGAACTCCGGGCAAAACTTGTATGAACCTTTGCAGTGGGGCTACCTCCGCAGTGCAAGGGTTAACTGTTTGTTTTTGTCTAGGTGCAAAAAAAAAAAAAGTTACTCACCTGAACCGCCAAGCCGGCTTTCTCTTAGACTAATCCCTGGAGAGTCCAGAGCCGCCCCCCCACCGGCAGTGATCCAAGGTCTCATAAATCATCACGTTCTATACACTATGTATAGACATGAGGATGCAGAGGAACATACCAATGCTGCAGCATTGGAGGAGACATGCCTCAGAGACTGGAGAAGCAGGAAGCTGTTTCAGCGGTTCAGGGGAGTATAACGCACTATA